TCGATTATTTCCAAATCTTTATTCGTACAGAGCTGTCGGCGTACATTAGAAATGTGCAAGGTTTGTCACCGTTTTCGAAGAAAATAATGAAATTCGTTCTTAAGAGTATGCTCCAACGTGGACGATTCGAGCGAGAATGATTGGAGCGTCAGCGCGGGCGATCGCCTCTTTTTATACGAATATTACACTCCACAATATAATAAGTTTCACGTACATTAAAAATGATAGACTTTAATTACAGGGCGATTGATTTACGTATTCTGTATGTACATATCGATCAGTATCCTCGATCGAGTATCCGTACCGATACATACGCGCATCTTACGTAGATCGATTAGGATGACGATGTGAGCGACGTATATGTATGCACGGAACATTTTTTTTTTTTTAGCACAAAGAGATGCTCTTTTTTATACATATATATATATATGTATATGTATGCACATAATATGTAACAGATATATAAAATCATAATGATATACATATATATACATATATACAACGTCGACAGTTTCTCTATTGGGATCCGTCACGCGTGTGATTTTTACTACTTATCTTACTTTCGAGAGTGCCGAGTGCCAAAGTCGACAAGAAATCTCGCAGTTCCGGACGGCGATTTCTTAAACTTTGCATCGCGGGTTGTTGACTCTTAATTATTAATTGCTAATTGTATGTGTCGAGTATAGAGCGAGAGATGATGATCAGCGACGTGACGAATGTGTCATAGACCGCGACGAGATGAAAGAATAGTAGTAAAGGAGAAGTAGAAGAGACGGGAGTGTGGAAAGGGGCGGGAAAATGGAGCGAAAAGAGAAATAGAAAAATTCAGGAAGACACGTACATCACTAGAAGTGTCAACACACGATAATAACACCGGGAGCGAACCGTAAAAGTAAACGTAAAAGTAGCTAACGCGCGCCTCGATAACTCCGTTCGACGAAGCTTCGCTGACATCGCGATTCCTTCTCGCGGGTACAAGGATGAATCCCGGGATCTGATTCACTTCGTGATACCGAATGACGTTGCAGCACATCTGTCCCGAGACAGGTTTAAGATCGATTTTTAAAGACGAGACGCTGAAAACAAGAATTCTCTCGCGCAGAAAGAGAAGAGGCTACGCTAGCGATACTCGGTCGTCCAGTTCGGTGTTCACGATTAGATATTAATTATCCTATATCGCTACGAGAACTCTCGTCAGTCTTAGCCAGGAAAAAGCTGAGGAGAGTCGCAGTCGGATAAAGTGAGCAGAGATGGCTGTCTCTCTTTCTCTCTCTCTCTCTCTCTCTCTCCCTCCCTTTTTCTCTTTCTAAGTAACAATCAGAACGCCGCGAGGTGGCTAATTCCGCCTCTAATCTCACCACGAAGAATGTCAATCGTGTAAATAAATAAGGAAACAGAAAAAAAAACCCACACGAACCTCGGCAGTTCAAATCCTTCTCGCTCGAAGAGCCCGGATCTCAAAAGAGGTCGCGTCGTATACGATAATATACAAGTACATCACTTAATCAGTGACGCGTTTTAATGATAACAGTAATACTAACAATATAGTAGCGATGACGATAATAATAATAATTATTATAATAATTATAATTATAATAATAATAATAATAGTAATAAGATATTATCAATAACAATAATTTATTATCGTCCGCAGCGACGACGCGTCCATCTGTGTGCGCTTTCTCACGAACAAAAAAATATATATATATAATGTATATATGTATAATTATATATATTTTTCTCTTTATAGTATCTCTCCTCCGTTATATCGTCGCGTGTGCGCGACGGATATATTTACAATAATTACTTAACTCGGGATTATACTTGGACTCCACGGTGGCGTAAGTTTCATGCGTATCCGGAGGCGAACTTTCACTCCAATAGACGATTCCTCCCGCACGAGCCGGCACTTTTCGCGATCTCTCTTCCATCCATCGAGGATTTCCGAAAACCGTCTTCTCCGGGATAATACCGCAGAGTGCTCTTTCAAAGATGGTATACACCATCATCAGTGCGGGACGGCTCGTGTGAGAGAAACATTTTCAGCGATGGCGCAGCGCGTTTGCGATCGTAGATCGCAGGCACATTCGCTGTGCCATCACTGTACGAAGGGCGAAGTTACTCGCGTGAAACGCATCATCCCTACAC